CAATGAACGGGACCTGATAGTTGCCTAGGCCCAATGTTACCAAGTGGAGCTGTCTGAGCTGGAAGTGCAGGAAGGCCGAGCTGAGTACGGCCGCGGGAGCCAATCGGCGCCCGGAGGCGAGTGTCAATCACCGCCCGGAGACCAATGGGACCTGGTATAGGCTGGTACATCCGGTGTCAGGATGCTCACTTCGGTTGCGGTAAACAGGCCGCGGAACATCCTTCAAACGAAAGCAAGGCGAGTAGAAGACCCTTTCCCCTCCAAGTATGATGAGGGAGGAAGCACTGTCGCCGAGTTTTTTTTTTAGGGAATCGAAGCTTTCACCGTCTGAAGGGTAACAGGCGCCTGGAGGGAGGGTAAGGAACCAGTAGCCGTAGCCTTAGCCTTAGCCTTACCCTCACCATCACCACCCGCCCCCCCATCCAGTCTGAGAAATAACTTTAAAAGTTCCCAACCCCCGTCGGTACCACCACCCCTTACCTTGGGAGGATAGTTGCCTCACGCTGTTGACGAACTGCTCCAAGGCGGACGCCATTTCTCAAACCGCTTCCCTTGCTCCTCATTCAAACGCCGTGACACAGCAGCGAAGCGGCACGGCCGACAGACACCTCTCGCGAGATCTCGGCTGCAGGAGCCACGTGCCCGGACTGAGGGGCCATGGAGGGCGAAGCATCTTAAAGCGGCGTTACAAGAGGCTGATCTGAAGAAGGGTCACTGGACGTTGACTCTGCTCTCTTTCTTTCTTCACCCCTCCCCCTCCCCCAGGTGCTGCTGTGTTTCTCTAGTAATTTATATTTTTGTTACAAGAGCCTCTTGTGGTGCAGTGGTAGAGCCCCCACCTCTGGGCGAGGAAAGCCTAGGCTCAGGTCCCACCTGCTCCAGAATGTGTCATAACATCTCTGTGCTGGTTTGATTATAGACAATGTCTAAAGCTGTATTACAGTAGGCTCTTGTGGTATCCTGGGTTTAAGTCCCACCCTGCTCTAGAGGTTTGTATTAACAGTTTGATTAGAAAATAAGTTGATTAAAAATATCTAAATGAAAACATAAGTTTTCTTCCAGGTCTGGTAGCATCTGTGAAGAAAAAAATTAATATTTCAGGTCTAGTGACCCTTCCTCAAAAATGGTTTTCAGAGCTTTTGCAGCAGCTTCTGTTTTTATTCCTGATTTACAGCATCCACAGTTTTCATTTTTAGAAAATATCTAAAGCTATGTTACAAAAGGCTCTTCAAGTGCACTGGTAGTGTCCCTACTTCTGATTGAGGAGACCCTGGGTTCCAGTCCCAGCTGTTTGACACATCTGGATGGATTACTTTAAAAATATGTAAAGCTGTATCGTACCTTTCAGACACTCCATCACCAATTTGCTCCCATTTCATTAACTTACGTTTTTGCTTATTGGCAAGTATCCTCTGGGGAAGGAAATCTGCCATCTGTTACTCACAAAGTTTCACACTCATGTGAAGTCACTGAAAGCTATAAGCTGGATTCTGGAAATCTGGAGTACAAACAGAAAGCACTGTTTAGATAAACACTTGAAAGACCATAATGTACAAACCAAGAGCTGGAAAATGGGATTAGACTGCTGACCAGTGCCGAAACAATGGACCATAGGACCACCTCCTGTGCTGTTTTTAAAAAAAAAACTCTTTATGACTTTATGCTGGAGAAAGTCAGCAGTCTGGCAGCATCTGTGGAGCGAGAAACAGAGTTTACATTTCAAATTCAATGACCACTTCAGATCTGGAGAAAATTATTCTGAAGAAAAGTTATACTGGACACAATATTCACTCAGTTTCTCTCTCCACACATGCTGCCAGACCTGCTGAGTTTCTCCAGCATCTTCTGTTTTTATTTCTTATGAACAAAATAAAGGACACTTCAACTGTGTGATGGGGGTGAGGTGGGAGGGGTTTAGATTCTTTGAGACCATAAGAGAATAGGCAATGAGTAATTTTAAAGCAACCGAAGCTTACAAGTTATCTTTTGGAGTCGCAATGCTATCATTCCTTTGCCTGGCCAAGTCACAGCTGTAATCCCTGCTCAACTGAGACTCCTGGGGTCAGTCTCCCACAGGCAGTCCAATACATAAGGGACAAAAGGCACCCCTTAAGAGGCACATAGACAAAATATGGGACAGTTCCTTAAATTATAGTTCAGATGGTCTCCCTGAGATCCACAGCAATGTGGTTGACTTTTAACTGCCCTTTGAAGTGGCCCAACGAACCACTCCATTCAAGGGAATTAGGAATGGACAACAAATGCTAGCTCTGTCACTGATGCTCACACTCAATGTAAGACTACAAGAAGGTATTTTTATGCCTTGTTTAAAACAGTCCTGCCAATAATGCAGTCAAAGGATTTTTCTTTCAAATTAGAATTATGCTAATTTAACACTTTACTACTATGTAGAATTGGAATAAGAGCATGAAAACATGGAAATACTGGAAGTGCAGGTCTTGGCAGCAACTGGGGAGTGAAAAATTGAGTCAAGAACAGTTCAGAAAGAAAAAAAAAATTCATTTCATGATGCCTTTCATTACCTTAGTATACTCCAAAATATTTTACAGTCAATGAAGTATCTTTGAAGATAAGTTACTGTTGTAACACAGCAATACAAGAACAAGTCACTGTGAATGCTGAAAATCTGAAATAAAAACAGCAAAATGCAGAAAATACTCTGCAGGTCTGGCTGTATTTATGTAGATAGAAACAGAATGAATGTTGAAACTTTAGCTCAGTTTCTCTGAATGAATTAGAAATGATTGTCATCCAATATCTACCATTTTTTAAATGTACATTTAACACAATGTAATGACAATGCAGAACTAATTGTAAATATTATCATCTATACCCATGATTTTCTCATCTTTTTCCCAAATTTTTGTCTCCTCACCTGTATGTGAAATTTTCTCAATGCTTGGTATGATTTCATAATTTTAAGAAGCAGTACGTTTCCTTATTATGCAAGAGGGCAAGATCAGTTGTAAGCATTCAACAGTCAAATACCTATGGCAGCACTCTGTGTCTAAGATACAAAAATGAAGAATGATCATTTGTTTAATGTCCTGGAAGATAATCAATGGTAAGGGAGCTGTTCCCTGGAATTGATCAATGACTTTGGCAGAATTTGAACAGGCTGTTTTAGCATTCTGGTTATGTTACTAGACTAACAATTTAGATGCCCAGATAATAGATCCAGAGAATGAGTTTAAATTTCACACACAGCAGCTGGGGAATTTCAATTAGCTTTTGTTTTTGTTCATTCACAGAATGAGAGTTCACTGGCTAAGCCAACATTTCTCGCCCATTCCAAATTTCTTTTAGTAAGTAGTGGTGCCTTTTGAATTACTAGAGTCTATTTAGTATAGGTAGACTTACAGTGCTGTTAGGGAAGAGGTTCCAGGATTTTGATCCAGTGATAACGGAGGAGATAGCTCCAAGTGAGGGTGTTGTGTGTGGCTGAGACCGGAACATGCAGGTGATATTCTGTTGGGTCGGCAACCTTTGTCAGTCTGGTTGGTAGGGATCAGGGTTTGGCAGGTGCTATTGAAGGAAGGCCCCAAGGTGTTGATGTTGGGGATCCAGTGATGGTAATATGGTGTGATGTGAAAGCAAACTTGTCATATTGTCACTTGTTGGAGACTGGCATTGCCTGGCCCTTGTGTGCCATGAACAGTATTTACTTAACACTACAAGCTTGAAAATTGTTCTGCTCTTGCTGGAGACAAACAAAAACTCCTTTTGTATTCGAGGAGTCACAAATGATATTAAACAATCATAGAATACTTACAGTGCAGAATCAGGCCATTTGGCGAGTCTGCACCTACCCTCTGAAGAGCATCCCACCCAGACCCATTCTCCCCAATTTGCATTTTCCATGACTAATCAACCTAGCTTGCACATCCCTGGACACTGCAGGGCAATTTAGCATGGCCAATCCACCTAACCTGCATATCTTTGGTCTGTGAGAGGAAAGCAGAGCACCCAGAGGAAACCCACACAGACAGACAGTTGCTGGAGAGTGGGATCGAACCCCAGTCCCTGCTAACCACTGACCCACCATGCCAATCATTAGCAAATGTCCCACATCTGGCCTTTTGATGGAGGGATAGTCATTTATTAAACAACTGAAGATTGGTGGTGCTTGGACGCCCTCCTAAGAAACTCCTGCAAAGATGATCTGGGGCTGAGATGATTGACTTCCTATTAAAATCTGCCATAACACACGAGTACCAATAATGGTGACCATCCAGACACCAGGTTGTAGTAAAATCCCCATCTGGTTTACTAATGTCCTCAAGGAAAGGAAATTTCTCGTCCTCAGCTCCGACCTATATGTAACTGCCGACCCACAGCTATGCAGTTGACTCTTAAGGGTCACTGAAGTGTCCTGACAACTCACTCAGTTTAAGTGGCTCACCAACACTACAAGGGAAATTAGAGCTGGGCAGTAAATGGTGCCCTAATCAGCAACATCTACGTCTGTGATTTGTTTTTGAAAGAATGTTATAAATTAGAGTATTTTGAAAAGTGACATTTTTTCACGTTTACGAGTTGTCGCTTTGTGGTTTGGCAGTCCATTCACTGCAAGTTTTTTTTTGAATTTGAAGTGTGAATATTTTTCCTACAATATTTCGATGAAAAGGCAGGTTGTAAATCGCTGCCTTGCCTTGATGATTTTGTTTGTGACATCCGCTCAAATTTCCTTGGGGAAAATTACAAACATGATCCCTCCAGAGGATTTGCAGACATTGCCTCGATTGGACGAGAACCCTGCAAAACCCCGGGTGCCTTTATAGCTTTAAGAGGAGGGGGCGTAATTTCCGGAGATTAAATGAGCGGTCACTTACAGTTGTTGCATTTGGAAAGAAGCTTGTCCGTTTTGGAAGCGCCGGAAGGTGTGACTTTAATCGTTGCACAGTACTGAAGTATTTTGACCTCTCGCTTAAATGCAAATCCAGTTTATTCGGTCACTGTACAAGTAAACACTACATAATTACCACTCCGATGTAAATTACCCGCAAACCAAGGGAATGCAGGAATATACCGATGGCTACCTCCATTGAATGCATATGACTACGTGATATTGTGCTTTCTCTTTCCTATGAATGCAAAAACAAAAACAAATTCGGCTGTTGGAGGATTGCTTTGCATTTTGCCCTCTGGACCCGAGCATGATCTTCCTAGCTCGACTGGCAAATCTCCGGAGATCCGGGAACAAAGTGCTCGGCGCAATGACCAAGTGTGTTTGTGCAGGGCATCACACCGCTGGAACTAGGCTGCGGGTGCTGGTAGACATGGACGGGGTGTTGGCTGATTTCGAAGGTGGATTCTTGAAAAAGTTCAGGGACACGTATCCCAAAGATCCCTACATCGAGCTGCAAGATCGCAGAGGTTTCTGGGTTTCAGCACAGTATGGGGAATTGCATCCTGATCTCTGTGTAAGTGAAAGGCGACTGCTGCAGGAATTTGATATTATCTTTGCACATGCAATATCGCAGCAATAGTGTCACTCCCACAAATTGGTGCTCCCCACTCCCACGCTTTACACCTGCAAAAAAATAACTATTTCTTATAAGAAAGTGCATGCCAGTCATTAGCAATTGACAATGTAAATTAGCAGATTAAAATAAAAACAATGAATGCCTGAAATGCTCCGGACGCACTCAGCAGGTCGTCCATCAATGGAATGAGAAATACACAAGCTTCAGTTGTACTACTTTTCACTAATCACGACCAAGGCCAGCAGGCATTGAGAGCCCTAAGCTGTGTCAAGCATAAGAGGGCCCTTTGCATTTCCAAAAATAGCATTAATTAAAAAGGACAATGAAGATAGAAATGTTAAACCTTTAAATGTGCTTAGGTTAAGATACAACAAAAAACTAATTAATTAGAACATGAGATAGTAGGAACTGCAGATGCTGGAGAATCCGAGACAACAAGGTGCAGGGCTGGATGAACATATCTTGTTAGATGTCTACCTGCATTATGAAATACTTTTGAATAAAAATACTTCAGGATTTCTTAACCTGGAGTGATTACCTACTATGCCAAAATGGCCCGCATGCATGTAAGGTCTAAGACATCATCTGGCTGCAAAAAGCAACAGAAATCACATGAGCCACTGCCACCACCGTATTTAATATGCAGTGATGTCAGCATCATGAATTAAAAATCACTATTGGAGAGAGAGGTGGTTCTGAGTTTAACCTGAGGGTCACCACACCCCAAGTAAGCAGCCAAGTTGCAAAAGTGAGACCTTCATGAAGACCTCATCTGGTACTGGAGTTGAGATTGTGCAGCTGGCATTACTCTGCATTGCAAACCAGTCATTCTGCCAACTGAACTGCCAACCCCCACATCATCAGTACGTGTGCTGCTGAGGGTCTGGGGAGGGTCAGGGTAAAAGGGAAATGGAGGCTGGGTTTGACAATGTGGAGCTTCCCCTCCCCCAGCAGGATCAGGGACAAAGACCAACGCCAGGATTGGAAACAGGGGGAAGCCTTCACCAGGAGCGGGATGGGAGGCCTGCACTGGGAGAGGTAGGGGAATAAAGCTGGCATCGAGAGGCAGTTTCCATAACCAGGATGGGTGGTGAATGCAGTTTTTGGTTAATGAGCAGGATGACATGGTGTGAAATTAAGTTGTTTTTTATTTAATAATCTGAAGAACATTTCTAAATGCACTGTTCAGGCTGCGCTATCTCTGAGACAGGCTGCTGCTCTCCATCACTAACCAGTCTCATCGGCTTTCCCTTGGCACATATTATCTGCAGGTGGCATTCTGCAAGTCATGTCCTTCTGAACTTACAATGTTGAAAACTCTCATCTCTAGAGAGATGAGCAATTACTTAGATCAGCACCAATGAACTGGGAACAGCAATACAACCAGCATCAAATTTAAAACATCTTCTTATTGATTCTTAGACAGCAATGTCACTGATGATACCCACAAATGTATGAAGCTTATCATTTTCGATGCTTGGAAGTGCTTTACTTCTGTAATGAGGTTAATGTCACCATCGTCAGGATAGTCTTTCCTTAGAAGCTTCATACATCTTTTTGAAGCCATCTAAATTAATCAAAAACACAAAATTGCTTGTAACATTCTCATATATGATTACCCTTTCCTTCATGTCAATTTTAAGTACATTCTTCATAGAAATCAATGATTTCACATGAAATCTGTCTCTTGGAGAAAGCACATTGCCATCATTGACTTATTTTCTATTTCTTTTTCCTTCATTCACACACTTACAATTTGCATCAAGCAGTTTTTCTTTTGTTTTGAGTTCAATGCCATCGAAACCTTTCAGGTTTCTTCTGGAAGTGAGTGAGTGACGTGCAAAGTGCAGCACATGTACTGAAGGCTAACTGTGCATTCTGTAGCAGCATGGTGGGTTTATGAAGGTGATCTAACAACCAGTTCCAAAGTTTCTCCTGTAGAATGCCAGCTTCTCTCCTTGTTCTTTTTCAATGCTATCAGTATGAAGATGAGTAAGAGCATCAAAGAATTGAGCCATAACTCTCAGCTGGGGTTATGGTAGCCTTTGCATGTCTTTCCCACCTAATTTCAGAGAAATGATTTGGGTCAATGGAATCAGCACACAGAAATGAGCTGTGTACAGTCCAGTGTTTTGTAGAGACAAAGAATAATGTGTATATTGTTGTGCAACTGCAGAAAAAATACTGCAACTAGGTAGCAATCAACTGTAGCCAACAAAGTTCAGGAATGTCCTGCAGAGGAGATACATAACATGCTTATTTTCCCTAGAAGGTTTTGCTGTATTATCATATGATTGCCCTCAGCACTTAGTGAAATAAGTGTTACAGTCATGGCCTAGATAATCCTGCACCTTGCTGGCCATACTCCCTCCATTTAAGCTCTTCTTAATTCAAGGAAAGTTCAGGGAGTGTTCAATGGGGAAACCATCATCAGGTGACACACATCTTACAGTAACAGTTAATCCACATGTGAAAGATCTGATGTAGAATCAACAAACAAACTTAAGAATTCTGCTTCTTCAAGTCATCCAAAATAAATCCTCTTACATTTTGAGACATTGGCTGAGTGATTTCCTCACATTTTGTTTTAGATGATTATGAGAGCTTCCCAGATCCATAGTTTCAATAACATCTTATGTTGTTGGCAAGAAATGGATAAGACTGAGCAGTGAGTTCTATCAAGCCAAGAAAGTTCCCATTATGTGCCAAGCCAAACCTTTAATTGCCTCCCCTAAAGCCTAGTTCATATTCAGTTATTGTGCCCACAATTGCAATAACACTTTCGAGTTTGCCTGATGAATATTAAGCGCAGCTTTCATTCAGTTCTAGAGCTGTCTCTGTGTCAAAAGTTTGGGTGTCTAAGCCCTGCTTCAGAGACTTGGACAAAGAACTTAACTGGCAATAGTCAGAGAGTATACTGCACTATGAGAGATTCAGGTTTTGTTTGCCCTGTGAATTTGTGAGAATTCAGCAGCCATGGTTGTAAGAAAATTTAACACAATCTCTCCCATCTTATGAAGGTACTCATTGGACTGAAGAAAGAAGGGCTTGCATGAATCACGTTTCTCATAATCTTCTCAAAGCAATTGAAATAGTACACTGATTATAATTGTGTAGAGAGATACAGCAGCTATCTTGTATACAGGAAGATCCCATACACAGGGAGGTGATTGTCAGTTTTTGGTGATGTTGTTGAGAGAGGAATGTTAGCCAAGACACCAGGAAAATGTTGTGTCCTCTGATAGTTTCTTGGAATACTCAACATTCATTTGAACACATAATTAGAAGCTAAGTTTCATAATTCACACAGCTCCAATGAATACAACACCCTCCCTAGGCTGATGTTCAAGTGCAGATTACATGCTCATCTTTTGGAATGAGCCTTGAACCAGCAACCTTCTGCTTCAGCACCAAAGTGGTGACGAACTGAGTCAAGCAGATATCAGGCACTTCACATACTTATCATTTTTTGACATGCAAACTTTTTCTTTAGTCTTTGAAAATTTATTTGCATAATTCACCCTTCACGTAAATGGACATCACCTTTGACACATAGGATCTGTAGGATTCAAGTATTCAGTTTATAACACATACTTTCAATGAGGAGCAGGAATCATATCAACACTGGACAGAAAATGGTCCAATTTTGCTTTAACTGTGGGTCACTTCCAGTGCCCCCTGATATTTTTGCCTTGCATCTAACTGTACTTTAAAATCAATTGAGTCATTTAACTGTTAACATAAGGAAGCAAATCATTTGAGAAAAACTTTGTGTAGGTGAAAACTATTTAAATATACTTTCTTTCAAATATAACATTCATGCATTTCTTCAAAACAAATGTAGGAGAAAGCAATAAGTATATGGGAGTCAAAGAACTTTTTCATTGAACTTGAACCTATTCCTGGTGCGGTGGAGGCTGTGAAAGAGATGACCAACATGAAAGAGTGAGTCCGAACTGCAAAAATATTCAAATTCTTGCTTAACCTAACAAGATTTCTGTACTGATGTTATTCCTGCATCTTTTCCATAGCACTGATGTGTTCATTTGCACCAGTCCAATAAAGAAGTATAAATACTGCCCTTACGAAAAAGTAAGTTATTTTACAATATTGACCAAAAAAGTGGCTGATGCATATTAAGGTTTATAATGTTTATTTGAAAATTTGAACTTTTATCTCACATGAGTAACCAACTGCTGTAGTAATCTCTAAAATGGAAAATCATTATGTGCTACCCCAAGTACACTGGATAAAACCGTCTCACCAACTATCTTAAATGACAACCCAAACTGTAACTAAAAAACATTAAATAATAACTAAGAACATTTATGAACATTGGATTTGCAATTTTTCTACACTGGAAGTGAATAAAATGTTTGCCATTGATAGCTACCTGGAACTGAAAAAAAAACTAACATTACATTACATTTGGTCAGAAGGAATTGAGCAAAGAACCATGCACTAAGAACCATCCACAAAAAGCAACATTCCAATGCTCTTTTACTATATTTTCTATAATTTATAGCAGATAAATCTAATGTACATTTTAGTAGGAAGAAAAAGATGGCCTCGTATTCATTGGAAAACAATCTAAACGGTGTAGAGGAGTAAAGACTCTTGGGAAGTATAGATATTACAAAGTAGTAAAAATAGGAATGTAAGTTAACACCACAAGGAAACAAACAAAGCACTGGGGTTCGTATTCAAATGGATATAATTGAAAAAAGAGAAATCGTCTTGAAGTTATATCATTCTTGGACTGCTGTGAACAGTTTTCATCTCTAATGTAAAAAGAACATAGAGGCAGAAGAAGAGGTTCAAAATATATTTGAATAGTATTAAAACAGCAATTATACAAAATGGGAACAATTGAACAAATTGGGACTCTTCTGTATAACTTTGAAGACTAAGGGATGACCTGATAGAAACATTTAAGATTATGGAAGAGTCTGTTAGAGTAGATATAAAAAAGACACAGGACCCAGGAGCCATCCATATTAAGATAGCGACTAATAAATCCATTAGGGAATTTAAATAGAGTTACTTTGTCCAGACAGTGGTTAGACTGTGGAAATCTACACACAAGAGTTTTTGAGGTGAATTGCATAGATGTATTTAGGGAGCAGCTAGACAAATACATAAAGAGGAAAGAATAGAAGAATGCCTTATAGGGTTTTGATGAAGAAAGATGGGAAGAGGTTCATGTGAACACAAACACCTTTTATGGGCCAAATGGTCTATTTCTGTGACGTACACACTGACAACTGCAAATAATTAAGAAGATAATACTACAATAAAAAGGGAAATTTGCAATTCTTTTCGTCTTTCTAATGTTACTGTCACAGTATTTGGACTTCATCTTCACTCTGTTCACAGTATGCCTGGGTGGAGAAACATTTCGGTAAAGAGTTTCTGGAGCTAATGGTACTAACTCGGGACAAAACGCTGGTATCAGGCAATTTGCTGATAGATGACAAACCAGATATATCAGGTAAAATAAGTGATCAAAGTGTTTTCAATTTAAGTGTTTGCATAGATAAAAATGCCATTAGATGTTAACCAAATTGTACAAAAATATCTGTATATTTTGAAATGGAAACCTTGAAGCAATTCCAACCAGTCCTGTGATTTAACAAATAAAGTTGCAATTCAGATTAGTACCAATATTTGTTCCTGGTTCTCTAAGTAAAAACCAACATTAGAAGGGAATAATGTATTTGTTACAATCAAAACTATATCCGTAAACATTTAATGTATGGATATAGCAAACTACAGGGGCTCTTATGGTGTAGTGGTAGTGTCCCTACCTCTGAGGCCTGGGTTCAAGTCGCACCAACACCAGAGGTGTGTAATAACATCTCAAAACAGGTTGATTAGGAAAATATAGCATGCTAAAAAATGTAGCTTGTTGATCCTGTTCCACTATTCATAAGATCATGGCTGAACTGATTTATGGCCTTAACTCCAGTTTTCTCCTTGTCCTTGGCAGCATCGCTGACTAGGCCAGCTTTTATTGCCCATCCTTAATTGTCCAGATTGGCAGTTAGGAGTCAACTTGGGTCTGGAGTTTTATTAGGTCATATGGTTATTAGGTTACCATTTTATTCCAGATTTATATTGAATTCAAATTTCATTATTTGCAGTTGTGGAATTTGAACCCACATCCTCAGAACATTAACCTGGGGTTGTACGTTGCTAGTCCAGTGACATTACCACCATGAGTGCAGCTCCCCCAGTGACCCAGTATCCAGTGCTCACTGGGTAGACAATTGCAAAGGTTATCAACTTTAAAACAAAAGAAATTCATCATAATTTTTGCTTGTGACCTATCATTCCATTTATTACGAACTTAATGCAGATAGCACATGGGATTCTTTGGATGATAGGAATATGTCACATATCACATCAGAGGGAACATAATATCAAGCATAACATACTTTTTGTACAGGCTAAACAGGTTTGTTCACAAATTATTTCCAAATAAAAGAGGAATAGGTGTGATATTGAATTATTCAAAACAGAAACAGTGCAGAAGGGTGTAAATGAATGGGCCAGAGGACTTACATTTCTTAAGCAAATTGTATGATGAAGGTTACTTGTGAGAAGAACCTCTACCAGCTGTACACCTAAGAAGCCTCAAGCCCATGATCACTGATCGCCCGACAGTAATCCTGCTAGTCAGGGTGATTGGGGTTGGAGCAGGATAGGCAATGTGCAGTGAGGAAATATAAAAGAGGATTTTCACTAAAAATTAATGATCACTGGATGGTACCTCTTTTTGGTAATTTCATCCATTGGCCATCCAAGACGCAGCCAATTCAGTTTTAGAATGGATCTGTAGTGCACTGCCCCAGTTGTAGAACTCCACACTTCTTCATTTATTAATGGGCCAGGTACTGTAACGCAGTTTGGAGGTTCAAGCATCTACAGCAGTGCCCCACTCCACTAGCCAATAAATTCTGACTCTAGTTCTCAGAGGAGTTTAGTATTTCACGATGCAATTTTTTTTGTACCATCTGATCTGTGTTCAAAATGATTTCCAAAACAATGCCTCTCATTTACAGTGCCAATTGTATTTTGTAGGTGTGGAACCTTGTCCTAAATGGGAGCATGTACTTTTCTCGGCCTGTCACAATATGCATATACAACTGAGACCCCCAAAAAGGCGACTGCATTCTTGGGATGATTGGAAACCACTACTTGACAGCAAACGACAATGATGACCTGAATGGAGCCTGAAATGTCTCAATGACATGGAACAATGAAAATTAATTGCCTGATGCAGAACTCAAGGAATGGCATGTGAAGTTAGTTGATAACTGCTGGTTATTTTGCGTGCAAACAATTTGCCTTGTGTGAGGGATTCTGTTTTCCTGTGTTTTTCATTGGTTTGGTACTTTTCAATCAAAGTACATTATTTAGGAGATGATACAGGTTTGGTTAGAATTCAATAACATGCTAGTAATTGCACCAATTTTCTATCCCTTGCATACATTGTGTAGCATGGTGTAGTTGTCAAAGCTACCAAAATAAAGAATCAAACATAATCCTATTCTGAAGAAGGGTCACATGACCTAAACTGTTGGCTCTGCATTCTCTCCACAGATGCTGCCAGACCTGCTAAGTTTCTCCAGCAATTTCTGTTTTTGTTTCATAACATTCAGCTGTTCTGTGGTATTTAATATGTTGCAAGTTAGAGTTTCAACCATGTCCAGAAATACTTGACAAAAGGCTCATCGTCAAATAACAAACCCACCCAATTTAGTTATTCACCAGTGTGTTGATTTTATTTTTTGTACCTGCTGCTTTTCAATTTTGTATAAAATTTGTTGCAGCGATTATCAGCTCTATTGCTGTGATATACAGTGAGTACTGTTACTGTTGCTCATCAGAAAATGCTGTTCAGTAATCCATCGCTGTTGTAAACTTGACATCCCTGGCAGTGCAGTGGCATCGTTACTATCAATTACATTTAGTTCAGTTGATGATGACGCACACCAAATAACAACCCCCTACTTTCCCTACTACCGAATAGACATAATAACTGGGAAATCTCTGTCCAACTCAACCTTTCGGATGTTCTGTAAGGTAGGGTTGTGGTTACATGCACAAAGGGTGATGCAAAATCATTTTCAAGGACTTTGTGCAGCATTACATTAGAAATCCAACCGATCCAATAATTTGAACGTAATCTGGTATTAACTTCTTAACTGTCTCATCCGATTAAATAGCAGTTAAACTGCCTTTTTGATTACTCTTGTGGTCAACAGTTGAAAGGGTAGAAATGCACTGCATATTCAAATAAATTCAAACCAAGGATTATCATTTACTTTTAAAACTAGCACAGTACAAAATTTGATTTTCTTAGCTTATACTTCGCTTGTAAGTAACCAATATTGCTGGTGCATGTGCACAACAAAAAGAAACCACTTTTCGCCCAAAATGATTAGCAAAGATGGCAGCTAAAAAAAAGCTTATATATATATATATATATATATGTGTGTAAAACTCTATAAAGTCATTTAAAAATTATAGACTTGAAATATATTTTAATTTTGTATGGTATTTAATTTTATATGGCACTGTAACTCATTGCATATATTGTAAATAGAGGAACGGTTAGCTCAGTTGGTTGGATGGCTAGCTCAGTTGGTTGGATGGCTGGTTTACAATACAAAGTGACGCAAATAGTATGAGCTCAGTTCCCATACCACCTGAGGTCACCATGAAGATCCTGCCTTCTCAACCTTCTCAAATTCACCACCAGTTATCTCTTCCTAATAAGACAGCAGCCCTCTGGGACTATGGCAGCTTGACTTTTGCTGTTGTCAGTCAGGTTACCATTAACCCCCATGGCCTTCTAGGATAGATAAGGATCCTGCTTGGTGTATTATCAATGGTAGTAAAGCCAACAAGCACTTACTGATTCTGGTGCTTTCTAAAAAAGGTTGATGCTAGTGCCTTATTTTCAGATGTATATAAATACTTGTAAAGATATAAACGTTTGAACCACTAAAGGTTTAAAACAGTGCATGGAAAGAACATGTGGAAATATACTTATTAATATGTCTAAGTTTAAAATTGATTCCAACTTTTTGCTTCATATGGGATCAGTGAGATCAAACCTCCGCAATTGCCCTGAAAGGTTTAGAAAGAGCCTTTGGAGTGAATTTTCTTGTGTCCTGTTTTCCAGAGTTTGAAGAGATTTGCCAGTTTTATGTGTCAAGCAGGAAATGATAGAAATATCTGTGGAAGAAGCTGTTCACTTGTGCACATTAAGAGTACAACCTGGTGACCTACCCATCTCCATTAGCATTCTAATGGTATTTTATATATACATAAAACTTGCACCATAGAAATGGGGTCACTCAGGCAGAGGGTCCATGTTGGTATTTATGCTGCGCAAGACTTTCCCCCACTTTATTTCATCTCAACATATGTCTCTCTTGCTTTTTTCCTCATATTTATCTAGCTTTCCTTTAAATGCATCTGTTATCAATCTC